ACTATCCTATTGTCTGTTATGCTGATCATAGAGTAAATTGAACTTTTATTTATTAGGTGAACCTATCTCTGCGAGTCAGTATACCGGACTAGGGACTGTCACAGAATTTAAATATGGACTGAATCTCGGAAACAACAGGGATGCCCTACACGTATGTTCTGAAATTTTACTATTAACAGTGAATTTAATGGCCCAGGGCAGCAGATTGCAAACTTTTATAATCTGTGGCCCCTTTCCAGTGCCTCCCTCAACTTTTGGCCCCCAACTATTCTATGGACAAATTCTAGAATTGCTGGTAGTGCGTTTGCTCCAGTTTATAACCTGTGTGATGTTTAACAATGAAAAAACACATCCATCATGATGAGTGCTGGAGTAGCATGAAGCGTTTGGAATGCTCTTGCCATTAGACGTGATTACCCTGTGTGAGATGGCGGATATGTGCTAGGCAGGATTTCCCAAACTTTTTGGGTGGCGGACTCCTGTATGTGAATCTTAATTTTGACGGCCACCCATCCTATGTCGTATCAATTTCTGCACTTAACCAACGAGGAAATATAATGTTTTCTTTGACGAAATAAAACTCATGAATGTCTGAATCAATACATACTAACGTAGGCTAACGGCAATTCGATAAGATTATGATCTCTATATGGATATGTTTCAGACCCTTTTCATATCGCTGCGGACCCCCTGTGCAGTCATCACAGACTCCCTGTCCTAGATGGTAGCTGGGCTCTTCTAGGGTTGTTCACATAACTGAACCATAGGATGGTTCACGTAATCGCTGGTCGGTTACGGCTTCCTCCACCATCAAGTCCATGCTTCCGAAAACAAATAACTGGATAACTAATACCTTCCCGACATGATAATACGCTTGAAGCACCTCATCTGAGGATGGTCACTGTGTTGGACTTGGCTATGTATGCGGTCATTATAGATGAACATATTGGGTTCAAATCCAATGCCACGATCTCATTACTGGCTGTTTGTTCTTGAAGGACTAACTAAAATTTGAATGTTTTTAGTACCTTGAAAACTTCGGAGAGGCATGGGGAATGCTTGCTGGAATCAATGCGTTATCTTTCATCAATAACCATGACAACCAAAGAGGTCACGGAGGTGGCGGAAGCATCGTATCATTCGATCACCCATACGGTGAGTAGCAGTCTTTAAATACAGAGTCATGTGCTCCAGAGGTATGCTTACCAATATGGGGGTAAATAATTTTGTTTGACTACCATTACATCAAGTTGTGTAAAGGGACTGAAACTTATGGGTAGGGGGTATATTCACTTGGTTAACACAGACAGTCCCGGAACTCTAATAGAACTAAAATAAGGAAAATCGGAATAAAAGTATGGCTCAATCCTAACATGTTACACTACGGGAGCACCCGAGTCGTGAGTCAAGATAAGTTACACATAACCAGAGTCTCGGATTCAAGTCATCGCATGGGTCATCCGAGAGTAGGGTGTCACTTTGAGGTCGATTCAAATGACTGAGTGAGAATGAATCTCGATAGTAGGTAGTTGATGACGAGCCCGAGTCGTTTAATCTAGATGACTCGAGTCAATAATAACTGTGACATAAGACCAACTCGAGTCGAAGCAATAACGCAAGGCTCCCTAACACTGGCGGGGTGTCGAGATAACTTGTTTTTAAAAATACCATTTTAAAATGCCTCAGCATAAGCCTGAGTTTTCAAGAACTGTAACCCAAAAGGGAGAAACTTGAAAAAATCTGTACTGGGGAAAATGATGAAACATATACTTCTGTGTTCTGAACTGTTTTTATTGAAATTGCTTGAAACTTTGATCAGAAAACCATTTCTTGGTAACTTTATTGAAATGTCAGTGCTCACCCTTTTGTCTTCAAACTTTCGTTCCTTATATCAGGATGTAGTTTCAGCCCCCCCCCCCCTCTTTTGGAATGTAAAAAAATTCTGTATTATACGTTTGTATCGGAGTCTGGGTTCGAAAAAATTTGACTCCAGCTCTCAACTTGGGTGAACTCGAAACTTGATTACCAGGATGTAATAAATTCATTTGGCATTGCCAAAATGTTGTTCAGAGTGAAAGATATAGGAATACCTCACATTAAAAAGTGACTGACGAAGTCCTATATTGTATTTAGACCTGAAGATCTTGACTGCCTACATGTTGGCATGGCCATATGGAACACCCCGTGTGATGTCCAGTTATTATTTTGAGTGAGTAAACATAATGAAACTGTTTTTTCAAAGGTAGAGTTTTTAAAAAATAATTGAGTAATTTATCATGAATGGAAATATTTTGAAGTAATGAAATTGTATCAATCCGATACATTTTGAATATTTCATACCCCACTGTTTGGTCTCTTGTTGAACATAAAATGGACATATATATATATATTTTTGTTTTGTTTTCACGGCTCAAAAAGTGTTTTTCTTTCCTGCCACTGGACTGATGCATCAGAAACAAATAACTGGCTAACTATTTCCATAACTGACATGGACTGGCAACCAGACGAGGGTCATGGTTCGCCACATGATTGAGCCGTCCTATCAGTTTCCTCTTCCTGATGCACTGATGCAACCCCCCCCCCCCCCCACACACACACACACACACACACACAATAGCCCCACTTAACTGGCTAAATCTACATATTTTTAATTTTCAAGCAACACTGACCAAGGTCCTCCTGGTTACCAGAGAAGCATAGAGAGCGATGGAAGTTGCGGAAATGGATGGGTTTGCGAGCATCGTTGGAGACAAATCAAGAACATGTTTGCGTTCGGACAATCCGTACAAGGTAAATAAGCGGTTCCTAACTAGGGAGATTCCCCTCTCTTAGGAAAAAAAATATAGAACATTTTTATACTTGCCAGAGTTGATTTACAAAGTAAATAAGCGGGAACTTTGAAGCACCCCACGGGAGGGTCCCTTAGGGCCGGACTGGGTGAGTTAATCTGTTGAAATATGCTAAATATGCTCCCTACGGGGAGGAAAAATATACAACGTTTTTGAGCGCTCCAGAAGTGTGTGTACGAATATGGAGGTAACTAATTTCGTTTGCCTATATTACATCTAGTTGTGTCAAGGGACTGAAACTTATGGACATGGGGTATATTCACTTGGCTAATGCAGACAGTCCCTGACTGGTAATAGAACTAAAATATAGAAAATTGGTATAAAATTATGGCCTAACCCTAATCTGGTACACACACTACAGGAGTACTCATTTTTTTACCTTCCTGGGTTGAATTTTTTCGTTTCTTGGAAAATATTACCTCTATAGATCCGATGTGTGCGACTGGTGGCTCGTGAACCACAACTCAGTCCACCAAGCCATTTAGCGTGGCCCTTGTCAATAATAAGATTTTTGCCCATCAAGCCTCAGGTCTTGTCTCGCAGACCACCCGTTGTCCACCCCTGTTTTAGAAGGTTTGGATTTTTCATGGTTCGTCTTTGCCTATCCGATTAATCACACTACAGGTGAAGTGGTTGCAGGGGCATGTCAAACTTTTCTTCTGCCGGGGGCGAGTTTTTAGGGATGCCCCCCCCCCGGCCCGGGGCGGTTGCCTCTTTAGCATTTCTTGAGAAATGCATTCGGTGGTGGACATGGGATCTAAACTCAAGATGTGTGACCTGCTATGCCAACACAGTTTAGTCTAACACTCTGCCCACTAGGCCACCTATCAATATTATTAATATACAAGGTGTTGAAAAAGTTAAGCAAAATTAAGGTAAAATTTTTCGTCATAGCAACGTTAAAAAAGTAGCTGTTAAAAAGCGTCAGTCGTGAAATGTTAAAATGGCATTTCGACGTAGTTCAATACTGTTAAAAGGTGTCAGTAGTTAAATGTTTTAAGTAGCATTTCATCGTAACTTCTGTTAATTTTACGTTACTTTTTTAACACCCTGTATATATTCTTCTACAGGGCAACTTGTTTCCAACTGGTGGACAAATGGTAACAACCAAATTGCTTTCTCTCGTGGAAACAAAGGATTTATTGCAATCAACAAAGCAGGGTATGGATATATTTTTCGCCCAATGAACGTTTTGCTCTGCTGGCAGGGAAGGCAATCCACTTATTCACGGGTCGCAAAATAACCCACTGTGTTTTTCAGTGACCAAACAAATAAAAAATTAATTTGATATATGGCCCATTCTGCTAAGTGCCAACCCTTTTTGTATTTTTTCTGTATCACGTTTCATCACTTATTTTTATCACTATGTTTAATATTAATGAGCCAACAAACGAAAGCAAAAAATTAAATTAAATAAAAAAAGAAATTACAGTCAACACATTTTAAATTAATGTAGTTATGGTGATTGGTACCAAGTAAATGTCTTTGGTTATGGCCCCCCAGAGAAGTTCTCTGTGGCTCACTTGGAGGGGGGGGGGGTCTCAGTTAAAAAAAAATGCTCCAGTGACTTAAAAAACATAATAAAAAAATGTATAAAAAAAATTGTTTCAACTTTAGATATGACATGAGTGAATACTTAAATACTGGATTGGCTGATGGGTCTTACTGCAATGTCATTGAAGGAGATTATTATGATGGAAAATGCGCGGGTGAGTGCATTTTCTTGTTAAAAATATTCTGCCCGATTGGTGTTACAAATACAACAAATTAGTTATACAGTGATTCAAGAGTCTTGCTGCACACTAACACAAATATATTTCTGTAACGTTTCGTCTGACCAAGGTCAGACTTCTTCAGACATACATAATTCAACTACAACACGAAAAGCAGTTACATGCATATTTAAACAATCGTAGTAGAATTATAGGAGTCACGCATGTTAAATAAAATATATTTGTGTTAGTGTGCAGCAAGACTCTTGAATCACTTAGGATATATGCAATATATGCATAAGGATCCACCGGCACAAAAGCATAGAAGAAGGATAAGTAGTTAGTCTCGCAGAAACCAAATAATCAGCGTTAGTTATACAGTATGTTGAAACCTCATGTTGCAAACCAAGATAGTTGTTTGGATTATTATCCAGGCTGCTCAAAAATGTCACCCAATTTTGTTTTTCAATACTTCTTATTGTGCTTGTAGTTCTTATTTATCATGCATTAAAATTTATTTAAACTTACAATTGTTATTACTTTTTTTGGACATTCTGTATAATTAAACATATCATCTTCATTTTCTTGAAAGTAAATATGAAAATCTCATCTTATTTTCAAATTATTCGAAATTAAATTAAATTGTTTGTATTTCCAATGCCCCTGCGTGCTTGAAACATGCTTATCTCCAGTGGTGGGATTCAAATTTTTTGTCAGCCGGTTCCTTCACAAAAGTTAAATTTTTCAGCCGGTTCTGTTACAAACAGAAAATTGACAGTAACCAGTAATGCTAACCGGTTCGCTGATCTCATAAAATTCTGTGAAACGGTTCTGTAGAACCGGTGCGAACCGGCTGAATCCAACCACTGCTTATATCTTATTTCACAAGGAGTGCCTGTATAATACTTTTATGCCTCTTGTTAAAAAACATCATTTGGGGTTTTGGCAACTTTCCTGAATCCTACCTGTGTCTTCATCTAGTGCAGTGGTTCTTAAACTTTTTCGAGCGCGACCCAAATCTGAGTTTTATGAATACTCGCGACCCAATCCTAAATAACGCAAAGTGTGTTTTTAATATTAGTACAGTTTGACTCAAATACAGACAACTATTTATTAGAAACAGTCCATTGACTCAGTGAGATTGATGAAACTGAAATTTCCTTTTCATTATATCTTCAATACACAGCTCTATTTTACTTAACGCAATACGCAAGTTGTCATGGGTATCGAGGCGATTGCGAGCTTAGTTTTGATAACCGTCAGTGCCAAATATCCTCGCTCGCACAAGTGCCTTGTCGCGAATTGTAGCAGAAAAGGCGTCCGCTGTCCGTCGCAAACACGCATTCTAGCTGGCCTTCGGTATCTCTCGCAATATACAACTTTTTACTCATCAAATGTGCACACACTGCTTCGTTCGCGGTAAATGGTGCCTCGAGATGAAGTCACATTTTCTCTAGATATTGAATAATCTAATGTCGAGAAGCGAGCTTTTTCATTGCGTCGTCTATTACAATTTACATTACCAAAAAGACACCCATTTTTGGTTATTTTAATCCACTAAGACGACATTCCACGCGGTCAACACAACGATAAGCGACGTGCATGGTTACCGATACCATAAAAATTGCATATGCATTGCATCAATGCCCTTGCATTGACGACCTTGTCGCGACCCATTTTTAAACCTTCCGCGACCCATGTTTTGGTCGCGACCCATACTTTAAGAACCACTGATCTAGTGTGTTCTAATTTTTGTTCTGTAGTGCAGTTTGGTTTAAATTATCTAATATCTATCGTTTCTAATCTATTTTTGTCGGTATATTTTGTATCGTTATCCAATCTTTTTATCCTATTCTGTGTCTTTATCAAAGTTCAGTTCGGTTTGAATTATCTAATATTTATTGTTTCTAATCTATTTTTATCGATATATTTTGTATCATTATCTATTCTTTTTATCTACGAAACAGGCGAATGCATCACTGTAAGTGGTGGAATGGCCCAAATCAACATCTATCAATCTGGCGAGCCGATACTGGCGATCTACAGTGATGCTATGACATCAGAATGCAATGTCGGAGGTGGCGGAGGAGCTGGCTCTGGTACTGGTGGTAATGGAGGTATGGTACCTTATGTCACTATTAGAAGTCCTTACAGAAATGATGAGTTAAAACGCATAAATTTTCGAAGAAAACTGCTGTTAAAATTTATTGGATTGCACAATTTTTCTTAGCGAACTCATTTGACCATGAGCTGCAGTTTTAAACACAGCACAAGGCCACCTTGCTTGTTTCTTAGCAACTCTTCTCTTTTACGATCGAATCGAATTTTATCTTCTTGTCCTTTTGGCATAGGCGGCGGCGGCAACGTAGCAACAACCTGCACTGACTGTACTTGTGCCGACAGTGAAAAAGTAGATTGCGGCGAATTGGCGAGCACAGAGGCTACTTGCACTGCTTCAGGGTGCCTCTGGTGCCCCGCTGGGTCTGGTTCGACAGCCCCATGGTGCTTTTACAAGGCCGCGGAAAGTACTGGCACGACAACGGCCCCAGGAAATGGCGGTGGTAGCACAGGTTACTTGTTTGTATTTTGGTGTACTTTTTGAGTCTTTACTGTTGATTGTGGATTTTTGGAGTAAGTTTCGGAAAATTGATTTTTATTCCCTTTTTCTTCCTGATACCCTTCTTTGGTCAGCACATACTTGAGAATTTTTTTGATTTTCATTTTTATATCATAATCTAGTTTTTTTAAAAAAACTGGAAATCTGGGTAGTTTTTTCCTTAAAATCTGGGTGTCTGGGAACCTAGTGAATACTGCGGTAATGAAACAATCACAAATTCATGCATCTGAAAGAAATAACTGGCTAACTAATTCCACACCCGACTGGTAACCGGACAAGCGGTCGCGGTTCACCATATGATTAAGACGTCTCCCTTGGGATAAATATGTAAATTTTATCCTATCCTGTAACAATATCTTTCTCTTGTACATGCACATGAAAAATTGGCATAGGTGTCATAGTGTCCTCACTTCCTTATATTTTCATTTCGTTCATTTTGCAAAGAATTGAAATTATTGAAAACCTTTCGAATGTTCGCTCAGGTGGAACGGGCGGCAACACTTGTACAGATTGCACTTGTCCTGATAATTTGAAAGAAGATTGTGGCGAACTCGCCAGTACAGCCGAGTCTTGCGCGGCAGACGGATGCTTATGGTGCCCACTTTCAACAAGAGCTGATGTTCCGTGGTGCTTCCAACCCATAGGATCAATAGGAACAATACCTACTCCCACAACCGCACCTGATGGTGAAGACTCAGGTTACAAAGTTCAAAATTTTGCGATAAAAGACTTCTTGGAGTCTAAATTTGTACTTTCCAATTTTCGAAGGTGTCTCAATAACTGGTCAGCTACCCCTGTTCTCAGTTGGGGATGATACCCAGATGAGAGCGCGTTGTTCGCCACATGATTGAATGCATCTGTTGACCTTGTGTCTTCACTTTGAAAAAAAAATTGATAGAAGTGTCAAAGTTTTGCATAGCATCGAAGGGGTTACTTTCTATTTTGTTATTCAATTAGTCAAATTGATTGAAAACTTTTCAAATGTTCGCTCAGGTGGAACGGGCGGCAACACTTGTACAGATTGCACTTGCCCTGATAATTTAAAAGAAGATTGTGGCGAACTCGCCAGTACAGCCGATTCTTGTGCGGCAGACGGATGCTTATGGTGCCCACTTTCAACAAGAGCTGATATTCCGTGGTGCTTCCATCCAATCGGAACAATATCTTCGACCACAGCGCCACCTGACGGTGAAGGATCAGGTTACAAAATTCAAACTTTTGTGGTGAAAGATTTGCAGTCGAAAGACTTCTTGGAGTCTAAAAGTTGTTCGCTCCCCATTTCTGATCCTTTTTCTGGTAATTTCCAATTTGGGAATGTATCCGAATCGATAGCTCGTTAGCTACTTCCATTCTCTGTGGGGCTTTATACACAGATGAGAGGCCGCGGTGTGCCACATGATTGAAAAGCATTTCTTTACCCCTTTTCTCGACCGGGAATAAAAATCTCACTCATCAGAGTAAATCCTATTTTCATCTGATTGTGAAATCTTTAACATTGTACTATTGTTACGCTAGCGGCCATCTCTCTCGATTTGAAAACCCTGAAAGAGAGTTACCAAGTTGTTTGTCATCTGGCATTTCAAATTTCTGGAATTTACAAGCTTACTAATTTCGACGATTTTCATTCTGCTTTTTTGCATTGCTGCTTTAAGAATTCTTTCGCTTGCAAATACTTTTCTTTCTTATATCAGTGCTACGTTGTTTTTATTTGTTTTTGATACCTAACCTGACCTTTGGTAAGGTCGAGAAGATCCGTTTGAAGTCTCTCATAGTAATGTCTGACATTTTTTTGTCTATCACCCTGTCCAGGAGGTATCAATTTCGGGTAAACATTACCGAACAAAAAAAATATTGATTCTTCCAAAAATAGCTACTTGTTACCCATCAGTGACTTATTCTTCAGAGTGAAAAGCCGGGAGAATGGTTGTATAAAAAGTCTTTTTGGTAGCTGACATAAATATCCTTTCCTGTATCTTGTAGTTGAACTCTTTTTCATATCTATATTTAAAATAAGTAAATCCTTCAACTTGACTTATGTTTGTATTTCACACTGGATATCGTTCATTTAACTCCAATATTCAGAATAGCTTTGCTATTTAAAAGAATAAGACTTTCCCGAAATAGAAAGCTTGTGGACTTCTGTCTGATCGTAATGGCAATAAAACGAGAAAAAAGGACATGCGGTTCAATACATTAATAACAGTTTTTCTCAAACTGTGTTACGTGTAACACAACCGTTCCGCGAGCTTCTTCAGAGTATTTTGCGAAACAGGGATCAAAATTTTGACTAAATTGGTCGTACTTCGGCGACTGTGTGACGCAAGTTTGTCTCCTAACAGACTGACAGACCTCGTAACAGCCTGGAAAGCATGGCGTTTTCGCTAACCATTCAATATCGTTAATCATTGTCCTTATTTTTTAATTGTCAAGTTTACAGCAAACTTTTTATTACTACCATATGAGCTGAATTCTTTGGAAACCACGCATCTAAAAAAAGCGTGAGTGTTCTGGGCAGAAAAATTGAGAAACGCTGCATTTCACCATAAAATTTTGGTGCTCTCCCTAGGTATTTGTACCAAGATGACACACAACCTAACAATTCGCACCAAGATGGCGCACAACCTGAACATATTCTGTTCACCAGGTAAAGTTTGTTCAGGTTGTGCGTCGTCTTGGTACGAATACTTCCGGAGAACCTAATTTTCAATCAGGTTTCCATGACACCCTGAGGTTCCGCTAGTACAGTAAAGGGATTCAAAAGTTTCAGTTCAAATTTGCAATTTTATATTATTATTGTTTAAGTCAAATGCCAAATAGGTTTTCTACTGTTATTAACCTTGCTAGGATTTAAAGATAATTGTTTTGGCAGTATTAGCCTTTTAAGTTTTATTTCTGTTTGTATTTATAGTTTATATAGTTTTGACAATAAGAGACAAGGGTTTCCTCCAGTCTCTGAAATATTCCACTGGGTACTGCTCCGCCAGAATGATTGAAAATCACTGCATTACACCCAATCATCCACTAGATTCGATCACGGAACTTAGTCTTTTTTATGCTTACCGATGAGGCACCAGAAGCGCCATACCTCTTCAAACATGACTCTAATGACTTGATAAAGTTAGAGGAAAAGCTACCGGCAAATCTTAAAATTTTGGGACACATGCTACAACTGCAATTACTTACAAACTCTCTATTTTTTGGGACCAATGGAAATCAGTACTGTTAAATGAAAACTTTTTACTTTATTGTTTAGGTGGTGGCGGTGGAGGAGATGTCCAATGCTCAGACTGTTCCTGTCCTTCAGAGGCTAAGACAGATTGTGGGTGAGTTGGATAGTTTGTGTATTTATCTTGAGGAGAGATTGAAAGTTAGTAAGAAGGATTAATATTGTTTGCCCATATACAGTATTGGAAACTATACACAACAGTCCAATGGCCAGCTCCTTACAAAAACAAAAGGGGACATTAAATTGGCGATGGTGTTTGCATGTTTATTCATATTCACAAAAAGAAGTTTTATTTAGGATTTTGGTACGTTTTAGTTAATTTTTTTACAGTCGTTTTTCACAGTTACATGGGAATTATCGCGACATTCCACACCCCCTTAAGCCCATCACAGCTTATTGATAAATCTGCACTCCCGTAGTGTGTGTACCAGGTTAGGGTTAGGCCATAATTTTATTCCGATTTTCCTCATTTCCACGCTTCAATCTATTAATTCATTTTCTTAGTTTCATGGGAATTACTTCGACCGAATGCGTGAACAGTGGATGTTTATGGTGTCCATCTGAAGGTACGAGTGATCCATGGTGTATTCATGTATCTGAGAGCACTGGAGGGGGTGGCGGAGAAGTCAGCTGTTCTGTAACGGTAAGTTAGAATAGAATTATTTACATATTTATCTTGGCTGATATGGCGGTTTGATCATATGGCAAACCATGGCCTCTCGTCCGGTTACCAGTCCATGTCGGGTATGAGATTAGTTAGCCAGTTACCCGACATAAACTGTAACCGACTTCTAGGCTTTCGTCTCCTCTGATAAATATAAAAATTCTATCCTATATGACTGATTTTATCTACAGTGCAATATAACACTTCATAGGCGTTAAATTTTTTTTTAAATGTAATTTGGCAGCATTTACAGTGAAATATAAATTCTTACGCCTTTTTTAACACCATTTTACTCTATTCTTGAACGCGTAAGCTTTGTAAAACGTGTTACGTCATTGAATAATTTGGCCCACTCTCCAAAAATTTTGGGTTGGCTACGCTCTGTTAAACTGTTCAAATCAGTTACGTTAATGGTTTGGTTTCTGCGAGACAAACTACTTATCTTTCTTTTATGCTTTTGTGCCGGCGGATCCGTATGCATATATTGCTGGGATGCTGTTGCAAGAGTAAAAATACCTATCTTAAATGATGCAAGAGTCTTGCTGCACACTGTGTGGTTCTAACGATATTAATCAAACTTGTACTATCCACTGGGCTTCTACAAGACATACTACTTATCATTTTCAATGCTTTGTGTATTCACAGTATTCTCGTTCAAAAAAACCTGAGTTAACTTTTTTTCTGGCTATAATAATATTGATTATTTCAAGTTAAAATTCTCAAATACTATCTATCAACATCTCTATAGCATGGATAAACCTGTATTTAGATCTTACCATATCAGTTGAACTATTCCATTTTTACTTGGACTCTGTTCTTGCTCTGAAAGAACTTGTATAAAAACACCCTTCTATTCAATTGATAATCATCATACTTCATCATATGAAGAGTATGTCTGACTTTGGTCAGACGAAACGTTACAGAAATAGGCGCACCGGAAGTATTCATACCAAGATGATGTACAACCTGAACAACCCTAACCTTGTGTCTTGGTACGAATACTTCGGGAGCACCCAGAAATATATTTGTGTTAGTGCAACAAGTCTCGCTAGCTGTTAAAGTATAATTTGGCAATTAGCAAATTAGAGACACCCCATTTTTAAAATCCTTGGATATGCCTCTTTCCTCTTGGCGCTAAATGTTTGGAACAGATTGGTTAATTAGAAAACCCAATTTGTTTTCACACCAAAAACCCCAAGAAGAATAACAATTTAGCAAAAAGAGTTTTGTGTAGAATAAAAATATAATGACTATTTGGTACTCCTGAAGTATGCGCACCGAGATGTCGCTTCTGTGATTTGTATCATGTCATTCACATTAAAAAAGCAAATACAATAATATATAACCTAAGTAATTCAAGAGTTTTGCTGCACACTAACACAAATATATTTTTGTAGCGATTCGTTTGAGCAGAACTCACTGCAGAAAACTCTTCTTGAATCAATTCAAATCAGAACATACAAAATTCTTTGCAAAATTTATTTCAATATTTTCATTTTTACAGGAAACTAGTCGTCAAGAATGTGGTTATTATGGAATCCAACAAAATGAATGCGAGAACAACGGCTGTTGCTGGGCTGAGTCCAATCTTAGCGGAGTACCATGGTGCTACACCGCACTCTAGAAAAATTACATCATCAATGATGATGTAAATACCAATCATGACGTCATATTATCAATAATTCTATTTTAATTTTTGATCCAGAATTCTTAATACATGAATTTTGAAGAAACGTTTTTTTGTATTGGTGGGAGTATAGGACGTGAGCAATCGGCCCGCAAAACCACCCCCCATGGCTACGCCACTGACTTACACTCCAGCGCTCCGAGCGAGGTTTTGTGCAAAAAGCACCATGAAAATATTTTACACTTGCGATGTCAACGCTGTTATGTCCAACACTCGAGCCACCGATGGATTCATTGACTCGGATCTAGTCAGCATTGATCGAAAACTTTAAGGAAGTGACTCGGTTCATCTAAAAGAGATGACTCGGACTGGGACTCCACTAACTGCCAGGGAGACGCGACTCAGGTGGCTCTTCAATGGAGGTTTATGGGCTTAGTTTAAGTTTATTTCGACTCCATAATCAGCATATTCGACGATAAAGTAATTGATGAAAAAACAGGTTCCATTACATTTGAACCCACGTACATTTGAACCCATGACAATTGCACCTGTATGCTATTGCACCTATGGAATTTTTTTTGTTTCACGGATAGTTAAACCCATACTAACCCTAACCCATGGGTTTTAGCACCCACATATAGATTGAACCCGTGGATATACACATGGGTTCAAATGTACGGTCACCGGAAAAACAGAATAGGAAAGAAAATGATTATGAAATCGGGAAAGCAAACAAAACCTCAAGTAAGCTTTGAAACGTACAGATTTTAAATTAAACGGTATTGATAACGTACCGTACGGCACCCTTCCGGTCTTGATGCCTCGCCCTGTTACCGGTACTGTGATGGGATATTGTTCCGTACAAATTCCGATTTTCTTGAATTCTTGCTGTTACCATATCCAGTTATTTTTTGTGTGATCCTACTCCACTAATAAAATGGTCCTTACGTTTCGTATCCAATATGCCTCAGTAGGCTACAACAACCAGCTTTTGATCGCTGCTAGCAACGAGCTTCATTCATTTCTTGTTACGGTCCATGAACGCACAGTTGAACCCCACGAGGGCGCTGTCGCGTGTATTATTACTCTGGTGGTATTTTGTTTCTCTGTTAATTATGATTAATTAAATTTGTATAATTTTTTTTTGTCATTCCCTCTAAAACTCCAGCCCACAGGTGTCGCTGACTCGATGACTGTCACAGTCTTTCGCGACTCCTTATCTATGGCTATGAATCTCTCACTTGTATGAATTCTGATGTGTATATTTAATTTTTTAAGATTGTCATTATACACGTTTGTCAATTTTTCGTGCTTTAAATTTTGTGTTAATTCTTGCATGATAGAAATAAATTATCTGAATCTGAATCTGATAAAAGAAGTAGTACGTGTTCGCTCACCCAAACTTCTGCTACAATGCTGTCTTTACAATATTTATGAAATAACAATATAATTGGTTAGCTCATTTTTTAAAACTTGACTTGTAAAATGGTTCTCTTCTGGAAGGGCATAAAGCAAAAGCGGCTGTAAGGTTTTTTCAAGTATGATAAAATTAGATGCTACTTCGTAGTTTATTTTTTTCCGCATACATTGCTGTTTGGAAAAAATTTATTTATTGACTTAACGACCATAAAAATCGGGAATAATAATGGGGCAGAATGAAATTTCATTCTAAACTTTTTCGAATCCATGTAAGATTTGAACTTTTTCGGTATGCTTGCGTATCAGTGTTTTCGAACATGAATTCCATAAAGTGGAGTACTAAAAATAGCCTTAGTCTCAAGTGTTGCATATCCATGTAAAGCACAAAACTACATAATACCGACCTAAGGATTCTAATACCGCGTTGCCAAAACGTACAGATACTAGGAAATCGACGGACGGCAGTTATGGTACATTTTTCTTTCCGAATGTAATTTACAAAGGCTGATATCGTTACTCATCGATATTGATCGGTAAGTATGTTGATAGGTATTTGTCTGTTTGTTTGTTAGATACACGCGATATCTCATGGAAGCGAGGTTGAATCTGCTCCAAATTTGCATGTGCATTCATCATATCTCGGACCAGAAACCTGTTGATTTTGGATGCATTATGTCGTATAATTAGCGAGTTATTGATTAATTAGTGATGGACACGCGGTGTCGCTATTGAGTCAAAGCGAAGGATACAAGCCACTAGATCGATAAGTCGGCGGCCTCCGATTGCCATCTCATTTGACTGTTAACGCAATGAGTAGTAATGCGCATTATTGAGTGCCCAAACACCCTTCGCGCTTTTGTTGCCACGATTCAAAACTTTCTTGTTTTTAACAGGTATCCTAGTATGACTAAAATATTGTGCAGCCCGCTTACCCAGCGGTAACTCATAAATTGGCCCGCGATAGCATCCTATAGGTTTGTTACCCATGCACAAGACAAACAAAAATTATATGGTTACAAATTTTTGTGACGAACAGCGTTACAGAACAAATCCGAAGCATCAACCAAAAGAACGAAGATCTCGCAGTAGGCGGACATTTCAGTCAATTAGGCCCTTCTATCAACGGCTTTTCGGTAATAGGACTAGAAAAACTGTACCGAGATCAAGCATGTCGACAAACGAAAGAAACTTATTTTATCAACGAATTCGAAACATTGGAACCTCTAGGAATGAATTTAAGAGATGGATAAACTCCTGATTTATGTTAATTTGAACATTATATTTCATTGTGCGATTAAACTTGATCTATTTCATCTTTTGGGTCATTATCTGACAATGACATTGTAGCCTCGACCCTTACATGAGTTTAACCAACACCGAAGTCGGAGTCGCGGGATTAATTTACTTCTTAATTGTCACTCACTACAATGAGAGTTACTTATTGATTATAATCCAAATTCAGCTTCCCTATTGTTCTGACACTGTTCCAGTCTTAGTTATTTCTCTCTATCAGAAACAGACCCTACATTTGATTGCGTTTCTTGTCACAGTTGTAAAATGCTTGTCCAAAGAAATCTGACCTCGGTCAGACGAAACGTTACAGAGATACATTTGTGTAAGTGTGCAGCAAGACTCTTTAATTAGAAATTTTTGTGATATGGACCTTTAAGTTTTGTGACGTCCGCGTGCGGCCCAACCCTAATCGTACCTAGAAATGCGACGGCGCTTGGCGGTATAGGTCAACAATACAATTAATTACGCAACACATATAAAATCATATATTATTTACAAAGTAAACGAAACTAAAGTATCGGTTCGGATTGTGAATTCATATCGCCGCGCCATATATGCCAGTCGCGATGTTTTTTGTGATTTTAGTCCCAGTTTACTCAAAGTAAGGTTGGAAAGCTTACTGAGAGGGGGTGTCAGGTAGTGAGGCAAGTTTTTTTCATTGCAAGGGAAGCATTCACAAGAAGGGCTTAATTTTTTTTATATTGTCGAGTATATACAGGGTGTCCATAAAGTCTCTTTACAGTTTTATTTTGTTATGAAGTCAGTTCTCAATATATCTTGACCAGGGGCCCCATTCACAAAGCTCCGTTACCGCTTAACGTGTTAGTTAAGCACCGACTTTCTCGTGAAAAGCAAAAATGGTATTCACAGAGCTTCGTAAATATTCGAGAGAAATTATTCGAGAGAGTTTTTTTGGCGCCAAATGAGACGTCTCGTAAAGTGCCTTCTTCTCACATTTTATCGAGAATCGGTATTCACGAAAGTTCTTTAGCCGCTGAAGAGCTCGCTAGCTAACGAGAACAATCTTCGCCTCGTTAACAGTTCGGATTGCTCTCAGCAGTGATTCAAATTAAAATAGGCTCGTTGGGACGTTAGCATACTTTGTAAAAATTGGCATAGTATCAAGGGTCCTTACTCGGGTAAGCGTGTATGTAGTCTAGTGCCGTTAACTTAGCTGTGGAATATCTGCCGCATTTACAGATTAAACTAGGGTTGAGATTCAGAGATTGTTCAGTTGTTGAAGTCATTGTTTTTTGTTTATTCTAGCACTGGCCTACAGTATTATGAACACAGATTCACAAATGGCTACCTATATTGAAGCTTGCAGAAGAAAAGTCCAACAATCTCTCCATGTCGTATCCGAAAGAAAAAAATTAGCTAGATGCAAATGAAAGGACCTTAATAGAGGACTATAGACTCAATGAAAAATTAAAAATATGGAATCTTAACAAGCTTTGGCAACTCACTGATTTTATTGTCTGTTACACAAATAGTTCACAATATGTAATTTGTTTTGTGGCAATAAATCTCTCTCTGTGTAACTTCAGCATTTATTCCATGTAGCCTATCCGTCAGTCTATAGATTACGCCACTGCTATATGAACAAAATTTCAAAACGCAGGCTGCAAAGGTGAAGCAGAGAAAGCCGATAGGTTACCGCGAAGGCGAAAGACGCTCGACTGTAAGCGGCGACAACTGATACGGCTGAGTGATCAGTCAGTGCATTTTGTTCAACTGCGACCGTGCGTAAGATTTCGAGAGAATGCTAGTGACCGTGCGTCAAGTGCTTACGAGGTCTTTGGTGAATCGCATTTAACGAGATTTCGCTATCACGATTCTGAGAGACACAGTTACGAGATCGTAAACCCGGCTTTTTACGAAGTTTAGCGAATGGCGCCCCAGGTTTGTTGTTTTTAATCAGTAATTGTTCAAGTATTTTTATTTCATTTAATACTTGTTGAACCAGAACTGGCAAAGCATTATTAGTTTAACAATTCATAGTTTAAATATTTTGGATCTTTTGTGTAAAGCCCACGCCAAAATAAAACGCCAACAATCAAAACGAGAATATCGGTTGGAAACCGAAGACTTATCGATCGATAGTTAGGGGAAAAACAGAAACTGCAGTTTCGATTCATCCGCTCTTGTAACTTGCGCACTGCGCATCGCACACGCACACTCGGCGGGTTTCAAAATTCTCTCGCTTTACAAAAATCTAGATCACTATATCAATAATTGATTGATAACTCGCTAATTATACGACATAATTCGCCCAAAATCAATAGGCTTCTGGTCCGAGATAAGATGAATGCACATGCAAAATCTGGAGCAGATTCAATCTCGCTTTCGTGAGATATCGCGTGTATCTAACAGACACAGACACACAGA